ACCTCCGTGTAATACTCTCTCTAACTCAAAAATGCATCTATACTATATAAATGCTGAATTGGATGCAATCCGAACCAAATGGTTCAGACCAATCTTAATATGGCTCGATGAAATTGGATTAGGGTCTAAGTGGCTCAGACCACTTAACTTATGGTTTGAACCCACTTGGGTTGGGTTCAAGTGTAGAGAGGCAGATAGAAGAAAATGAAATAAACGTAAATGATCCAAAGGGGGGTATTTATAGGCAATAAGGTGTCTTTTCGGGTGGGTGCAACCCTTTGGAAAAACTAAAAAGTAGTTTTTAAGCAATGTATCTTTTCGGATTGGGTGTGTCTCTTCGTCATTGGACACAACCATTTATATGTGTCTCTTTATTATTAGACACAACCATTTATATGTGTCTCTTTATTATTGGACACAACCATTTATATGTGTCTCTTCACACTGGACACATCCACTCCAATTGGTTGCAATGGTTCACATGGTGTCTGTTCACCAATAGACACATCCACTCCATTTGGTTGCAATGGTTCACATAGTGTTTGTTCACCAATAGACACATCCACTCCAATAGGTTACGATGGTTCACATGGTGTCTGTTCACCAATAAACACATCCACTCCAATAGGTTGTAATGGTTTACATGAATAGTTATGTTTGTTGGTTTTGAGTTGCATCTTTTCATCCCATAACCAACCAGTAATCGTATACATTCAGTCCAAGGCATCTATTGATGACTAATCAAATAATTTTCATTCACAATTTCTAACAATCACCCACATGAATGGAAATTGGCTGCTTAAATGCAAAAGATGATCATGCAGACATTAGAGAGAGTATAGTTGGAAAGTTAATGCATCAGGATAGGTAGCTTTTGGCTTTGAACCTTCCTTAGTGTATTATTATCGGATTTATTGGTTAACCAGTGAACGCGATGTCTTGAACTGTTCAGCCGTTTGTGTAAACTAAGGCAATAACAAACACACAGTACCTTTCCTCACAAAGTTGGTTCTCATTGTTGTGTTCATTTTGGCCCTGAACAAGTCCTGGTATTCAATGAGTACTCCAGAAAACTTAGCATTTATAGTTATCATATAAGCGGCCCTACTTTACACTCATATAGGTGATTTCTTATTAAGAGTATCCTACCTTACCCCACTTGAATTTTCAAGGTATAAGAGTCATTAAAAGCGTAGCTTATCCTAATCTTTGCTGTAGGTAGCACTGTCTCATCATAGAAATGGGCAGAAGATATATATCTTCCCAGTGCTTCTGATGAGCTATTCAGAATTTCTGTTGTCCCTTTAAACCTAGATCTTGGGATCTCCAGTCAACTAAGTTGGGTTTCTATTAAGATGACTCTTTAGCTTTCGGCTTTAAACCCCATTTCCCTCGATGATCTGTACAATTGCTCTCTAATACAACCCTCAATTTATATATGGCCACATGGTTGTATATAGAAATATTATACTTTATAGAGATTTCCCTAATTAAGAGCAAATGTATACTTTGTGCCCTAAAATTGCTTATTGTTAGTAATATCATTTTCTTTAGCGGCACAGGTGTAGACTTACTTTGAAATGTCCTCTAGGTGAAGTCTATTGACTTTCCTATTTGATTTATTCAAAATTTCTAACTTTGAGTTATATTAAGAACATACAATTACACCTTTAATATTAAAGACATATCTACTCATTGATTTGAAGTTTTTAATATCCCACATCCAAATTGCATCACTATTACACCTCCAATTTAGTTAGATACCTCGATCTATGCAATATTAGACTTAGGGTGTATCTTAACTACCCAATTTATTGCTTTTCAGTGATCCTAAATAGAAAGTGTGCAATTAATCACAGTTATTAAGATGTCTTATAATCTCAACTAGTGATATACTTTAACTAGTATTTATATTTGAGATTTACATTTACAAAAGTTAGCTAGGCTTTTGTTATCATAATTAGTATTATCTCAATCTTACTCTATTGAGAATATACTATGTTATTAGATGTTCAATCTTTCATTTCAAATATGCTAATGAATAAATCCTTATTTTTTTAAGGCATACAATGACTTATGTATCACATTCATGTCATTATCTCGGTTGTAGCTTTAATCCACTCAAGGATTTATAAGCTTGCACACTTGACTTTTCAACTGAAAGAAATAATTCAGCTTTTCAGTTGGAAATAGAACTCTTCTAGTTGTTCCATAATATTTTCCTTGTAGGAAACAACATGCACTATTGTTATAATACTATAAATGATTTTTGGTTCTATACTCTTAAGATTCGGAACCCCCCACATTTATAAGTATTTCTCTTAAGATAAGGTGACTTGTAACAAATTTCATCAATGGATAATATCTCCCCACAACTTTGGGATAATCCTGAAATTTTATTTCTGATGTATTTATTATGATTTTCCAACTCTAGAAGTACCATATATTAAATACTTCACCTCATCTACTTTTTCAAGGTTCCATATCCGCTTCTCAACAAGCATGTATAAGAGTCTTTAGTGCATATGTACTCACTTTATTACTTTATCTCTAGCTTATTATTATAATAATTCATCGACATTACTATGAATTAATGCTAGAGATATTAATTAGATTGGGCTCTAATTAATATTTGCTTCTACATTTCTCATATTTATGACTTGAGTTATATATGTTTAGGTTTATGTTAAGTCAGTCATATTAACATGTCATAACCTTTCATGTGTCACATACATCACATAACTCAATAATTTAAGCAAATAATATCTAGTTATTTAAGTTTTGCATACATCACCACATAATGAGCACTCACTTCTCAAGTATTATTATTAACTTATATTAAACACACTCTTCTCATATCTCACTACTAGGTTATGATGAGCACCCACTTCTCTACTATTACCATTAGCTTGAAGTTAATTTTGCTCAGTTATTAATTCTAGCAGCTCATAGCTTTAGTACACACTTATCTAAGTAGTCTACCTTGGTAGTATAGGAATTTGTTTTGGAAAATATTATCCAAAAACTACTACTTGTAAAGTAGTGTTCTTCCCTCCTACAAGAGCAGATATGACGTATAACTCAAATAACTTATAGCTGAAATGGTTATTCACCATCCTCTTATTGTTGTTGTTGTTGTTTGTTTGTTTGTTTTGTTTTTTTTTTTTTTTTAACTGATCACTTTAGCTTATGGCTAAGCTAACTAGTTTTCAGCTCAGTAACATTTTAGCTTTTAGCTAACTTGATTTAGCTTGTCTCAGTGTACTAGCTTAATGTATTCATAACATTTTCCATTGAACTCTTTAGAGTTATCGAAAATATCTCTCTTATTCAGCCCATTCACAGCTATACATGTCTTAGACACTAATATAGATCTTTTCCTTGACTATCGGGAGAACTAACGTAGCTGGACTAGTCAATTTTTGTTTGTTGTATTACATACACAAATCAGTCATAAACTCGTACAAATATAATAATATCACACATTAGATAAATTATATTATAAAATTGAATTACTATGCACAATAAGTAATTCAACTCCATAATTCAATATTATAGTAAACATTTATAAAAACAATATTGAACTCACATAAATAAATATAACAATATAGTTTAATATTATATTACATGATTAATTATATCACATAATTAATCTAAGAAATAATAATAATCAGGAAAAGACTTTGCTTCCTTAAAGCTTTGTGGTTCATTCTCCAATAAACATGCTAGAAAATCAGGACCAAAAGATTTAGACGTTCTAACCCTCTTGCTACGTCTAAGCTTATCCGTAGAGGGAAAAAATCCCCCTTCCAGTAAGACTCGTCCATGTCATCACACTACAAAATACTCTAGATATCACAAGGGCCCAATCGGTGCCGAGCCCAAATTGGATCAGCCCAGTCCATAGCAAGCCCAGACAAAGCCATGGCTTCCACATAGATCACAGACCCAGACCATCTGGCCCAACTTCCAAGCCCAGACGTCTGCAGCCCATAACACCAAAGGTGAACTCCAAGCCCATTAACTGAATCGTCTGGGTCAGCCCACATTCAACCCAGTTTTTGTCAAGGGAAGTCCAATCCTGCTAAGCCAAAGAATCATAAAAAGAAGCAAGTTCTATACAAGGAAAAGTCTGCATGGAAAGAATTGTAAAGAGGAAAGGATTATAATTGTAAAGAAAATCATATATGCAATGAATTGGAGGACAAGCCATGTGAATGCTACCAAAATTCCACCACTTTTTTTCTTATAAATAGAGGCTTAGACCTCCAATAAAATCATCGAGCATGATATACTTATTCTGAGTTTTATTCTTGCTTGTTCTGAGTGTGTTGTATATTTCTTTTTATTTATTTCAATAGAGAGAAATTTTGCACTTACACTTTGGCGCCGTCTATAGGAAGCGTATAGAAAGATACTCCCACTTTTTGTTTCAAATTATTTTTGTTTCCACGATCTGGAATGTTAAACGGAGAATCAACGGCGACAGATTAATAGATAAAGTTGATGCAAAAGATGCGAGAAGAGTTCTTGCACCAATTCGAAGCACTTCGTCAGGCGAATGAAGCCAGCGTAGCCCAGATTGCATTGCTTCAACAGCAAAATGACACCTTTCAAATGGCTATGGCTCAGTTGACACCTCAGCCACCACCAGTTGACAAGGCTGCGCTTCTTCCCAACCAAAACAAGCCTCAAGTCAATGGGGTTCGGCCTAATGAAGTTTGGCCACCACCAATTAAAGGGGCTGCACCTCCTCCCAATCAAAACGAGCCTCAGGTCAATGGGGTTCGGCTTAGCGAAGTTCGGCCTACCGAAGTTCAGTAAGACCAGAAGGTAAGATCCGAGGTGGTAGCTTCGGACAACCTCCCTCATCGCACACAGGATGAACAGGCCGAGTCCAGTTGTAAACTCACGGTTGGTCTAATGGTGTTCCAGATGGTGCAGGAGTAAAAGAGGCTTTTGATGAGAAGAGACTCCTGAGAGTTCAAAAGCCTGTAGAGATGGCCAGGGAACATAAGAACTCTCTCGTGAAGACTCCATTCACTGACGATGTGTACCTTGTTAACAGACCTAAGAAATTCACTATGCCTGCTTTTACCCAGTTTGATGGTACGGGAGATCCGTCTCGGCACTTAGATCATTACGCGCAAAAGATGGCTCTAGACGATCACAATGACCCATGGATGTGCAAAGTTTTCCCTACCAGTATAACGGGGGCTGCACTGGAGTGGTTCAGGAATAGGCCACAAAAATCTATTCCAGACTACGAAACTCTATGCACCATGTTCCTGGCGCAGTATTGCGGTAATAAGAAGCAAAAAAAGAATATTGCAAACCTTTTCACTATAAGGCAAAAAAAGGGTGAAATATTACAAGACTTCTTGTCCAGATTTAATATGGAAGCTTTGAAAATAGCAGATTGCCATCCTGCTACCGCAATAGAAACATTCAAACTTGCAATGATCCAGGGAACCAAGTTTCATACATCCTTAGTTAAGTATTCCCCTCCGGACATGCAGACTCTCAATACTAGAGCACGGATCTACATCCGACTTGAGGAGAATGTGGCCCACCGAGCTCAACATACCACTCTCGTCACAGTGGAGAACAAGCCTCAGGAAAGGGTTTCAAACTCAAAAAGCCGAAGAAACCAACACGCTTCGGCACCGACCATTCAAGTACCTGAAAAAAGGCAAAGGACAGAGGAAAGGTTCATGCCTCTTCGTACAACCTTGGCTCGGTTATTCCAGGAGAATAAAATGAAGTTTGCAGCCCCTCAGCCAATAAGGCAACCATTGGAATAGAGAGATAAGACCAAGCACTGCACCTACCATAGAGATTATGGGCATACGACTAATGATTGCAGATCCCTTAGGCGGCAGGTGGAAAACATGATACTGAGGGGTTAATTGGCAGATTACCTTACAACAAAGGAGTACATGAAGCCTTGAGAGGTCAACCCTCAGAAAGTCGAAGGTAATCAAGTGAAGGTCATCCATGCAATACATGGAAGATCGGAGGATGATCAGGAATCAGAGGAGGTTTAAAGGTCCCGACTGAGAACAACATATAAGCTGAGGAGGCTATCCTCGGTAAACGCTATTGCTTCGGGAGGCATCAACATTGGGTTCGATGATGGAGATCTATCTATAGTCCAACTCCTCCACGAGGATCCGTTGGTCATCAGTCTCTTGGTGGCGAATTGCATGATTAAGAGGGTTTTGATAGACCCAAGGAGTAGTGCCAACATCATCACAAAGGCAGTCTTTGAGCAGCTAGGGATTCTGTTATCATCAATTCGTCCCACCTCCAGCCCATTGATGGGGTTCAATGGTACAAAGGTGGACCCCCTTGGGGTAATTGACCTATCCGTAACTATGGCAAAGAGGACACTGAAGGAAAACTTTGTCTTAACGGAGATCCACCCTTCCTATAATCTCATTATGGGAAGAGGTTGGATCCACTGAATGAACGGGGTTCCGTCTACCCTTCACCAGGTGATGTGATGCTTGTCTTCGGACGGGAAAGAGGTTATTGACCTCAGGGGAGATCAAGTAGCTGCCAAAGAGTGCTACATGTTAACACAGAATGAGGCAAAGAAGGTAACAAAACAATCCCAACCGATCACACCTCTGGGAAGCAAATCTAAATAACAATTACAGAATCCTCTACCGAGGAGTCTCTGGAAGCTTTCGAGGTAATCCTCGGCGATCCTCAGAAAATCACCTACATGGGTTCTTCCCCCACAGCCGAAGAAAAAGAAGCATTAATTAATGTCATTCGACGAAACGCAGATGCATGTGCTTGGGAGCATTCAGACATAGTGGGGATCAATCCTTCAGTCTCATGCCATAGCCTGAAGGTGGATCCAGCATACAAACCAGTTAAACAGAAGCACAGAAGGTTCGTTCCAGAGTGCAACCAAATTATAGCTGAAGAGGTAAGCAAGTTACTTTAGGCAGGCTTCATCCGAGAGGTGTACTACCCACAATGGCTCTCCAACATGGTGGTAGTTCAGAAGAAGAATGGCAAATGGAGGGTTTGCATAGATTTTACCAATCTCAATAAAGTTTGCCCTAAAGATAGCTTCCCGTTACCCAAGATAGATCAGATGGTTGATGCCACTACTGGTTTTGAGAGGCTCACGTTTCTTGATGCGTACTCCAGCTACAACCAAATTCCTATGAATCCAGAGGATGAAGAGAAGACTGCTTTCATAACAGAGAAGGGCACCTACTGTTACAGAGTTATGCCCTTTGGGCTCAAGAATGCTGGAGCAACTTACCAACACCTTGTTAACAAGATCTTCGACGAGATACTAGGAAAGACGGTTGAGGCCTATATCGACGATATGGTGGTTAAAAGTGTGAAGAAGGAAGAACATCCTAGGCACCTCTAAGAGGTCTTTGACACTTTTAGAAAATATGGCATGAAGTTAAATCCTTCGAAGTGTTCCTTCTCAATTTCTTCAAGACAGTTCCTCGGCCATATTGTGAACAAAAGGGGAATTGAGGTGAGTCCGGCTCATGCTCAAGCCCTTATACAAAATCAAGAACCAAAGACCCGTAGGGAAATACAAGTATTGACCAGTCGAATCGCAACTCTCAGTCGATTTATCTCTCGATTGTCTGATAAGTGCAAACCATTCTTTAATGCAATAAGGTCCAAAAACAAAGACATATGGGGACCTCAACAGCAAGCTACTCTTAATCAACTGAAATGCTACATGGTGAAACCCCCAATTCTGTCAGCTCCGAAACCTGGTGAGACTCTTATCATGTACTTAGCCATCTCCAGCGTAGCCACGAGTGCAGTATTGATCAGATAAGAAGGTAAGAGTCAATATCCAATCTTCTACACCAGCAAGACAATGATAGATGTAGAAACGCGGTACAGCAAAGCCGAGAAGATCATACTAGCATTGGTATATGAAAAAGGAAACTTCGACACTACTTTGAGTGCACAGCATCAAGGTTCTTACCAATTACCCCATGCAAGTCATTCTTTCTAAACTGGATTTATCTGGAAGAATAACTAAATGGGAAATCGAGCTTAGTTCCTTTGACATATCCTACGAACCAAAGGTGTCGCACAAAGGGCAGGCACTAGCTAATTTCCTCTTAGAGTATTATCACAACTCCCGAAGGCACCAAGCTACAGCAATCAATTCGGCTGACTTTCCTGCCACTAACAATGAAGCGGAATATGAAGCCCTGCTCATGGGACTCCGGTTAGCAAACCAACTTCAGGTAAGGTGTCTAAAAGTTTTTAGTGATTCTCAACTTATTGTGAATCAGGTAACAAGCCAGTACCAGCCTAAGGAGGATAGAATGAAAGCCTACAGAGACGCTGTGGAGATTGCCTCACGAGGGTTCAACCAGATCGAATTCCATCAAATACCTCGCGAGGAGAATTCTGAAGCAGATCAGTTGGCTACAACAGCATCTTCTTTGGATGAAGATTTGGTCCGGATTGTACCAATTGACATCCTGGACGAACCAAGTATAAGCCTTCGGCAGGAGATAATGGTGATCCCAGATGTCCCATGTGAACCATGCTGGATGGATCCATTGGAAGCTTACCTTAAGGAAGGGATTCTCCTGAACCAGAAGGCCGAGGCGCGGAAACTCAGGCTCACTGTAGCCAAATACGCTATTATCAATAACCAATTATACAAAAAGTCATTCTCAAGTCCTTACCTAAAATGTTTAAGCCCTACTGAGGCTCTAACGATTATGAAGCAGATTCATGACGGGGATTATGGCAATCATTCTGGAGGTAGATCTTTGGCACATAAAGTTCTGACTTAAGGTTATTTATGGCCTTACTTGGCTCGGAATGTTGAAGAGTATGCCAGAAGGTGTGATAAGTGCCAGCGACATGGTCCAATGAAGCATCAACCCGCCGAAGATTTACACGCGATGGCAAATCCATGGCCATTTGCTCAATGGGGGATTGATATGGTCGGTCCTTTGCCCAAGACTGTGGAGAAAAAGGAATACGTGTTGCTAGCCACCGATTACTTCACTAAATAGGTAGAAGCCGAAGCTCACTCGAGCGTGATCCATGAACAAGTGAAAATTTTTCTATGGAACAATATAATCTGCCAATTTGGGGTGCCACATGTTATTATGATGGATAATGGCCCAAATTTAGATAACCGAAGCATAAGAAAGTTATTTGCCGAGCATGGGATTAGGCAAAAGTTGGCTGCAGTTAGCCATTTTCAGGGGAATGGATAAGCAGAAATAACTAATCGGACCATCTTCAGCTGCTTGAAGAAAAAGTTAGAAAAGCTCAAATCTAAATGGTACGAGAATCTACCTCAGGTACTTTGGGCGTATCGAACCACCCCCCGTAGTCCAACGGGAGAAAACCCTTTTGCCATGGCCTATGGGTCAGAGGCTGTCATACCCACAGAATCAGTAATTCCGACTCTTCGAACCCACTTGGTACTCGAAGGTAACAATGATCAGCAGCTTGAACACAGCTTGGATCTCTTGGAGGAAAGGAGGGATACAGCGACAATTAGGCTAGCTTCATACCAGCAACAGTTGCGTAACAGTTACAACAAGCGCGTTAAGTTCAGACATTTTGTGGAAGGAGATTGGGTGTTGAAACAGGAAACAACCCATGTAAAAAAGTTGCAACCCAATTAGATCGGACCTTACAGAGTCACAGAGATAGTAGGGAAAGGAGCTTACCGATTGGCGGAGGCTGATGGGCGTCCAATTACACATCCATGAAATGCATTACACTTAAAAAGGTACTATCATTAGATGATATAGTTTGTTTACTTTCTATTCACAAACAACGTACGTCTGTTTTTTATCCAAGTATGGCTGCTTCTAGGCCTATATAATAAAAGTTTCTTAAGTTATGCACATCTATACACTCCTTTAGTAGAGTGGGGTCTTACTTCTTTTGTCGTAATAGGGGGCAATACATGCACAACAAAAGCATGTACCATACACCCTACTGTTGATATTACAACAAAAGAAGGATATCAACACAAAGCAAACAAAAACATAAAGCAAACAAAACGAATAATTTTGGGTTTTTACTGGTACTTACAAGTCTCTTTTTCATACAAAAGCACAAAAGTACAAGTATGTACCCTATTATTGATATTACAAGTTCTTTTTTAATGAATATTTAGGCTCTATATAAATCATGAGCCCAAAGGTGCTTTACAATTTTTTCATTTTTGGACACAAACCACAAGTAGGTGTAGCTCAGAACACTTATTTATTATGGTCCCACAGCGAAAAAAAATTATTTCTATACTACCTTTATATAGGGAAATATTAAAGTATCTGGGTGCATTGCAAAGAGGGCCCGTTGGTTATAGTAACGGCCCAGCCCAAGTTGTGCTCAAAGCCCTAGTACCAACGGGCATTCTTTGTAATAATTTTTGTTCTTTCCAAATAAACCAGTTTTGTGGCTCATACATCATTTATCCCACATCGCATAGGAGTATAAAAAGTATATAGTAAATATAGAGTTGGCAAGCTGCGTTTGATTGCCACAAAGAGAGTCCCTGTGAAGGAAAGTCTTCCAAAACAAATGTATGGGGGACTTCCCAGTCACAGTTACTCTCTTTTTTGGCCTCATATCATTTTTGAATCTTCGGCCAGCCTGGCATACTTGATGATTTTCCCAGATCAGGCCCACAGCTGAGGAACACTTTACTTCGGACCCCAAGAGTCCAGCTAAGAAAAGTTCCTCTCCAGCTCACAGCAAAGGACACTTCGCTTCGGACCCCAAGAGTCTAGCTCAGAAAAGTTCCTCTCCGGCTCACAGC